TAGCAGGGACGAGGGTCTGGGGACCATGCTTTCAGGGGACATCTAGCTCAATTGGCATAACAAAGTTTATTAAGAAATTGTTCTGCATCCTACTTTGGTGAGTGGCCTCTGGGGTCTTAAAAGCTAGCAAGTGGCCATCTAAGATGCATCAATTGGTCCCAACTCACTTGGAGTAAAGGAGAATGAAGAACACTAAAGTCACAATGAAACTATCAGCCCAAGAGACAGAAAGGGCCACATAAACCAGAGACTGCATCAGTCTGAGACCAGAAGAAATAGATGGTGCCCGGCTACCACCAATGACCGCCCTGACATGGAACACAACAGTCCCTGATGGAGCATGAGAAAAGTGGGGTGCAGAACTCAAATGCTAGTAAAAAGACCAGACTTAATGGTCTGACTGAGACTGGAGGATCCCCAGAAAGCATGGCCTCCGGACTCTCCATCAACCCAGAACTAAAACCACTCCTGAGGCCAACTCTTCAGACAAAGATTAGACTGTACTATGGGACATAAAATGATGCTCATGAAGAGTGTGCTTCTTAGCTCGAGTAGATGCATGAGACTAAATGGGCAGCTCCTGTCCGTAGGTGAGAAGAGAAGGCAGAGAGGGTCAGGAGCTGGTTAAATGGTCAGGAGCTTGTTAAAAGGAGTGGAAAGGAGGAGTGTGCTGTCACAGTGTAGGGAGAGCAATTAGAGTCACATGACTATGTATAAATTTTTGTGAGAGACTAACTTGAGTTGTAAACTTTCACTTAAAGTACAACAATAAAAAAAAAAGAACGATGATGAATCTGCTAAACACCTCACAACGTGGGTGAATCTGGAGGGCATTATGCTGAGTGAAATAAGACAGTCACAAAAGGACAAACTGTGTATGAGACGACTATTATGAAATCTCATGAATAGGTTTACATACAGAAAGAAACAATCTTTGATTGAGGGACAGGAGGGGTAGGGAGGGAAAAACACTAAATAGACAATAGATAAGTGGTAACTTTGGTGAAGGGTAAGACAGTACACAATACTGGGGAAGCCAGCACCATTTGTTCAAGCTGTGGTCATGGTAGCTCCATAGACACATCCAAACTCCCTGAGGGACCGAGTTACTGGGCTGAGGAGAGGGGACCATGGTCTCGGGGGACATCTAGCTCAACTGGCATGACACAATTTGTAAACAAAATGTTCTACATCCTACTTTGGTGAGTAGTGTCTGGGGTTTTAAAAGCCTGCTAGCAGCCATCCATGATACATCTACTAGTCCCATTTTGACTGGAGCAAAGTACAATGACAAAAACCAAAGATACAAGGGAAAGATTAGTCCAAAGGACTAATGGGCTACAACTACCACAATCTCCACCAGACTGAGTCCAGAACAACTAGATCCTGCATGGCCACCACCTCTGACTGTTCTTACAGGGATCACAATAAAGGATCCCGTACAGAGCGGAATAAAAATGTAGAAACTCAACACACACACACACACACACACAAAAGAAAAAATCCAGACTTGCTGAACTGACAGAGACTGGAGAAACCCCAAGAGTATGTCCCCTGGACACCGTTTTAACTCAGTACTGAGGTCACTCCAGAGATTCACCCTTTACCCAAAGATTAGATAGGTCCATAGGGCAAACAATAACTCAAACAATAACTACGCTTTGTAGTTCAATCTTGTATACAGACTAAATTGGCACCCCAGCCCAAAAGCAAAGACAAGAAGGCAGGAATGGACAAGAAAACTGGACAAATGGAAACAGGGAACCTGGGGTGGAGAAGGGGAGAGTGTTGACACATCGTGGGGTTGGCAAGTAATGTCACAAAACAATTTGTGTATTAATTGTTTAATGAGAAACTAATTTACTGTGTAAACTTTCACCTTAAGCCTGATAAAAAAATGGATTGGAGACTTAATATAAAAACCTCGAACTATAAAGATCATGGAAGAAAAATAAGGACAACACTTGGGGCCCTAATACATGGCATAAATTGAATACAAACCATAACTAACAATACACAAACACCAGAAGATAAAATGAAAAACTGGGAGCTCCTAATAATTAAAGACTTAAGCTCATCAAATGCTTCACCAAACGAGTACAAAGAGAAAGAGAACCTACATACTGGGAAAAATTTTTGGCTACGACTGTCCAACAAGGTTCTAATCTCTAAAATATATAAAATACTGCAACACCTCAACAACGAAAAGACACATAATCCAATTAAAAAATGGGCAAAGGGTATGAACAGACACTTCACCAAAGAAGACATTCAGGTGGCTAAGAGACACATGAGGAAATGCTCGCAGTCATTAGCCAGGAGATAAATGCGAATCAAAACTACATTGAGATACCATCTCACCCTGACATTACTGGCAAATATTAAAAAAAAAACAGAAAATAACAAATGTTGGAGAGGTTGCGGGGACACTGGAACTCTTATCACTGCTGGTGGGAATGTCAAATAGTACAACCACTATGGAAAACTGATATGGCACTTCCCTAAAAAGCTAGAAATAGAAATACCATACAATCCAGCCATCCCACTCCTAGGGATATGTGTGTTATGTGTTAGGTGCCATTGAGTCGGTTCCAACTCATAGCGACCCTATGTACAACAGAACAAAACACTGCCTGGTCCTGCGCCATCCTCACAATCGTTGTTATGCTTGAGCCAGTTGTTGCAGCTGCTGTGTCAATCCATTTAATTAAGGGTCTTCCTCTTTTTCCCTGACCCTCTACTGACCATGATGTGCTTCTACAGGGACTGGTCCCTACTGATAACATGTCCAAAGTACATGAGACGAAGTCTCGCCATCCTTGCTTCTAATGCTGTATTACTTCCAAGACAGATTTGTTCATTCTTTTGGCAGTCCGTGGTATATTCAATATTGTTTGACAATGCCATGATTCAAAGGCATCAATTCTTCTTTGATCTTCCTTATTTATCGTCCAGCTTTCACATGCATGTAAGGATGCACCTTAGTCCTTAAAGTGACGTCTTTGCTTTTTTAATACTTTAAAGAGGTCTTTTGCAGTGGATTTGCCCAACGCAATACAGCGTCTGTTTTCTTGACTGCTGCTTTCATGGGTGTTGATTGTGGATCTAAGTAAAATGAAATCCTTGACAACTTCAAGGTGGGATATACCCTAAGAATATATCCTAGAGAAATAAGAGCCATCACAGAAATACAAATAGACATATGCACACCCATGTTCATTGCAGCATTATTCACAATAGCAAAAAGATGGAAACAACCTAAGTGCCTGTCAACAGATGAATGGATAAACATATTATGCCACATACATACAATGGAATATTAACAAATGATAAGGAACAATGATGAATGTGCAAAACATCTCACAACGTGGATGAATCTGGAGGGCATTATGCTGAGTGAAATAAGTCAATCACAAAAGGACGAAAACTGTATGAAACAACTATTACAAAAACTCAGGAAAATGTTTACCCACAGAAAGAAACAATCTTTGATGGTTACGAGGGAGGGAAGGCATGGGGAGGGGGAGTCACTAACTAGATAGTAGACAGGTGTTAACTTTGGTGAAGGTAAAGACAGTACACAGTATATGGGAAGTCAGCATAACTTGACCAAGGCAAAGTCATAGAAGCTTGACAGACACACCCAAACACCCTGAGGGACTGAGTTACTGGGGCTGAGGGCTGGAGACTATGATCACAGGGGTCATCTAGGTCAGTTGGCATAACATAGCTCATAAAGAAAATGTTCTACATCCAACTTTGGTGAGTAGTGTCTGGGGTCTTAAAAGCTTGCAAGTGGTCATCTACTGGTCCCATTCCTTCCGGACTAAAGGAGAATGAAGAAGACCAAGGCACAAGGAAAATATTAGTCCAAAGGACTAATAGACCACAAGTATCACAGCCTCCATCAGCCTCAGCCCAGAACCAACTGGGTGGTGCCTGGCTACCACCAGCCACTCTGACAGGGATCACAGTAGACGGTTCCAGATGGAGTGGGAGAAAAATGTAGAACAAAATTCAAATTCGCCAAAAAAGACACCCAGATTTACTGGCCTGACAGAGACTGGAGGAACCCCCAAGCTGTATGGCTCCGGGACACCATTTCATCTCAGAACTGAGGCCACTCCCGAAGTTCACCCTTCAGGCAAAGATTAGCCAGGTCTATAAAACAAACAATAACACATGTGAAGAACCTGCTTCTATGTTCAATCATGTATACGAGACCATATGGGCAACACTTGCCCAAAAGCAATGACGAGACAGCAGGAAGGGACAAAAAAATGGACAGTTGGGAGCGGGAAGCCAAGGTTGGGAAGGGGAGAGTGTTGTCACATCACGAGGATTACAACCAATGTCACAAACAATTTGTGTATAAATTGTTGAATGAGAAACTAATTTGCTCTGTAAACTTTCACCTAAAGCACAGTAAAAAAATAAATAAAATAGTATGTTAACGTGATTAAATGTTATATAATTCCTTAAAATTGATAACTATGAATACTACATAGCAACATAGATTGATATTTACAAAACAAAGTTAAGTGGAAAGAATAGAACATGAACTTCTATATAAGTTATTATTACAACTACGTAAATATCCCAAAGGATAACAATTTAAACGGGACACAGAAAAGTGAAAATAACTATTTTAGCATAGTGAATTTAAAATTTTTTTACCATTGTCGTTTTAATAACTTTTAAAATGGATTTTGTGTTTTCTGAGATGGTTCACCACTTTCTCAGACGTTTCATCCTACCTGTGAAATTTTAAATTTTTATGGGAAGAAGAGAGGATATTGATTGCCACTTTATCTAAAAATTATACTGACCCAAGACTGATAATAAAATGCACCTAGAACTCAGCTAGAAAGGGTGTTGTGTTTTAGTTGCCTAAAAAAGAAAACAACACCATTTTATTGATTTCTGGAGATTACTTGGAAAAATTAGGGTCAAATGTAGAGATATCAATGTGTGATTTTTTGTTTGTTTTTGAACTTTAGGTACAAAATTACACCGATGCCCTAGACTGGTACAATTATTCTCTGAGGTTGTATGCATCTGATCAGACGGATCTGGATTTGGCCAAGCTGCAAAGGAACATGGCTTCCTGTTACCTGAATCTGAAACAACTTGATAAGGTCCTTTGCTTTATCTATTTTTCAGAGGCAGCAAATGTTTTTATGTAGATAGATGCAGTGTTATGACTTAGTTGTTAGGTTAGGATGTCTGACAGTTCTTTCATACAGGACAAAGTCAAATTGTTATTTCCCTTATTTGCATACTGTAAACACTAATGAGTGGAACTTCCCAAATGGAGAGAGAATTTAGAAGACCATTCGTTCTACTTACTGTTTATTTTTTGCACCTTATTCTGAAAGGTAATATATCATTGAAGCTCCTGAACAAGGTTATCTGCTACTTACCATCTGCAGTATTTTCCTTTGAAGCAGACTAAATTTTAAGGTAAACCTTTTTGTCAGGCATTCATGAGAGCAAATACTTGGGTAAAATGGTCATTCTTTCATCTTCTTGGTTGTTATCTCTTGCCTTTCCAACCACTCCAATAACTGTTTTCTTATCAGGTCGAAATTCTAGAAGGGAAAGGAGATAAAAGCTTGTATAAGGATAGAGCCATTCTCACTTCCCAAAGCAATTGGGACATTTCTTCCTTTGGGTATTGTATAGTATGCATATAATGGGTATTGCCTCTTGAAGGAGCCCTGGTGGCACAGTGTTTAAAGTGCTTGCACGTTAACCGAAAGATCGGCAGTTTGAACCCACCAGCCACTCCACGGGTGAAAGATGTGGCAGTCTGTTTCTGTAAAATTACAGCTTGAGAAACCCTATGGGGCAGTTCTACTCTGTCCTATAGGGTCATTATGAATTGGAGTCGACTTGATGACAACAACTGGTTTGGATTTTTTTTTTTTTTTTGGCTCCTGGAAAGACAAAGAACAGGAAGGACAAGTGAGGACCCAGATGAAATAATAGAAAGGTTTTTGTTGTCTTTCAAGTTTTATTGACAGGTTTAAGGGGTGATTCTAGACATTTTCTTTGAAGGTTTATTTATCTTTGGGTTTTTTTTCTGACTAAATATTTTAAATGTTCTTTCAAAAGAATATTTGCTATTTAGTTTGTATGTTATAAAGTCATGGTCCTGGAAGAGAAGTTGAAATGGTACTTAATCCATCATATTTCTGCACAGGATAGCATTTAACTATTTCAGAAAGATAGATGTGTACTGTTTACTTACTGTAAAGAAAGTAATCACACAGCTTTTATAACTTCCATGTTTTATGACACAATGGATGTAACCACAGTGGGTGAGGCAGATTGGGAAGGATCTGGGCCTGGAGCTAGACATACCAATTTGGGGATGGACGCATTGGCAGGCCAAGGGAGGATGTCTAATCAGCTAGTCAAGATAGAAAGAACACAGTACCAGACACTGTGTTAGGTTCTGAGGTTATAGAGATGAACAAGGCATAGCTGCTTTTCAAGTCAGCCAAGCAGCTGGCATCAGGTATCCTAACAAGCAGAGCATAGCAATGAGGGAAATCTCCACAAGCCAACAGGTAGTTGGCATCACATAAGCATATTAGCAGGGAACAGGGATTCAAGAACAGAGACTTGGACTCAGGGGAAGGAGTCCAATATTTGAGGCATAAGGATGTGTGGAGATAGACTAGAAGGAGCAAGCTAGAGCTCCAAACCTAAAATGACTGGCATATGAGGCTGTTTTTAAGAGTGGAGCTCAGGCATAGGGAGACAAACTGGGATGCAATTACCTAACCAGGAATACAAAGTGACTAGATGCAGTCTTTTGAGATTTGAAGCAGTGCTTCTCAAATCTCCTCTACTAATGTCACGTTTGGTCCTAGAGCCTAGTGTAGGACTGAGCCTTTTAATTGGAGGTTCAAATGGTGTTAAGGCTAGTAGTTAGGAGGAGAAAGAATGGAAGAGCAGGGAACCAGGCATGTCCTGTCTGTGTATACTCTGTATGTAATTGTATCATTTAAGGACAGATTTGTGGTAAAGCAAAGATTATTCTGAATATGTTCAAGGTAACTTGGTTGTTTACTATTAGTATATTTCTCCATTCCATCTTTCCTGTCTTGAACTTAGTGGATATTGATTGGATACCCTCCATATGCAAGGAATATCCTCCTATACACTAGGACAGATAGAAAGATAGAAAATACATAATCCATCATATTTTACTATTCTCACCTTGGCCCAGTGTCTAACCATTATTAATTCTCATTGTCTGCTTTTTTTCACTCCTTTCCTTGTGCTAACTGAACATTATTGGGAAATTTTATGAAATTATGTTTATTGGATTTGCTAAAATTTCATGATTTTTCAACTAGGAACTCAATAATACTGACTCTTGTTGACTTTCTATCACATTCCCCAAAGTGGTGATTCCAAATCATTTTTTCTGTTCATAAACCTCCATGCCTCCCCTACTTCCTTTTAGCAGAAGATCTTATCTTGTAATTTGCTGAGCTTGTGGCCACTGATATGAGCTTCAGCTTCTCTCCTCTTCACCCATCCTCTCTTTTCCTCTATCTCTGAGAAAAAAGTAACTTCTTCTGAAACTTTACAAATCTCAACCCTAGCTCTTTAATCTTTCTCTCTCTACTAATTCTTTCCCCTAACACTACAATTATTTTGAGGTCTTCTTTATCTAAAAACTTTCCTTCAAACCTGTCATTCTAAAATTGCAGTTCTTTCTTTGACCTTCTTTTCACCACCAAACTTCATAACCTAAAATTATTGTCTATATTTTTTTCAGTATTCATTAATTCAGCAAGTATTTGACTATCTACTACAAGTCAGGTACTGTTCTAGGCATTGGGGACGTAAGTGATTGAAATAGACAAAAATTTCTGTCCCCATGGAGTTTATATTCTACTGGGAGGTACAGACAATAAAAAGATAAATAAGTGTTATGGTTTATTACAGAAGTTGGTAAATTTCCTAACAAGAACAGATAATAAATATTTTAGCTTTCACAAGCCATGCATACAGTCTCTGTCACAACTACTCAGTTCTGCAAGGGAAAATGAAGAGAACAGCATACAAGGAAAAGATTAGTCCAAAGGACTAATGGAACACAGCTACCAAGGCCTCCACCAGACTGAGCCCAGTACAGCTAGATGGTGCCCGGCTACCACCACTGACTGCTCTGACCAGGATCACAACAGAGGGTTCTGGACAGAGCTGGAG